TATTGTATTTTTTTTTTTTAGAGCAGATGAAGTTTATATAAGGAAGTTATCTACGCATACCCAAGTTTTTTTTTTCTTTCTGTATTATTTTGTTGGTCTTTTCCATCGGTGACATGTGCTGCTTCAGCTGTGATAAGCATATTTTAGACTGTTGCCCAAAACACCATCCAGATTAAGTTTATCTGGAAAGAGGAAAAATAAAGTAAATAAAGACAAATCCTGGTGTCGTTTTAAATTTAATGGTAAATTGTAGATTAGTACCTATATTTTTATATTAGTCTTATTTATTGTATCTAAATTTTAAAATATGCCATTTTAATATCTAAATTTTTAAAAATTGTCAATTTAGTACCTGTCGTTAGCAGTTCCTCACACGGCTTTAAAAACCGACACGGAATTGGAATCTTTCTAGTCACCGGTTTTAGGTTGACGTTCGACTGTCCGGTTTGAATAGATGATCCGTTCCAACTTAAAAAATAAAAAATAAAATAAAATTTAAAAACAGCCATGTACTGTTGAACAGGTCGAATGGATCAACAGTTTGACCGCTTCAGTCAATGGATCATTGACCAAATCAATGGTTTTTGGCCAAGGACCGGGTAGAGGGTGAAACAGAACTGGTTGTTAGACAGTTCCCGGGCCAAACAGTCCAACCATCTGGGCCAACAGTGAATCAAAAACATCAGTCATTCAATTATTTGTATCATGTGATGACATGGGCAACTTAAATTTTTTGAAAATATCAAAACTACCCCTTTTTAATATTTTTTAGACTATTTTACTTTGATTGTCGACAAAAAGGATAGGGTATAAAGCAAATATGAGCAATTGCAATGAAAAGGGATACATAACGGGGGACCCATCCCCCAACCGACAATCCCTCAACCTAGGTGCAAGTAGGATTTAATCCTAAGTCTCTGCTAGGACCAACAGGAGACCTTACCAACCAGCTGGCTGGCACCTTGATGAAAAGGGATTTAAACATAGATATTTTGTCTATTACAAAATGATGCTTCTCTTGTCCACTCAAAACTTGAAGGGTATTTGTGCCCTTTCACATGTCACCTAATGTCAGTTAATAATTTTACACTAAACTCACAGTTTCATGAATTTAGATATTGTAGTAACACATTTTAGGTGTTCTTTTTCTGGATTTTGAGGGGGGAGGGGGGAAGTCGGTCAATGGGATTTTGATTTCCATTGACCAAGAAACCCATGTTCTTTTTCCATATTTATGTGGGGACCAAGGAAAGTTTATTTTCCTCCTAGGTGGGTAAATAACTTTTCCACCTAAGAGGAAAGTTGCCAATACTTGAATGAGACAAAAATGTCCCTTTTAATAATGGATTTTTATGGTTAAAATGGCCATTGCCTTATTTACACGTGAAATAAAAGAAAATGGATAATACACTTATACAGATAAGTTTTTTCTAAGAAACACTTACCCAGATAAATGCACTTTCCTGAATAAATAACTTACCAAAAACTAAACACGACCTTAAAGTAAGAATAATACCTCAAAATACAAGGTATTAATCTGCAATTTACCCTAAATTTAAATAAAGGTGCATGAAAATGAAAATGATATATGGATAAGAAGATTAGAAAGGAAGAGGGTGCGTACTTACGCACCGTGCGCGGGAAAGCATAAACAATGCTGGTGGGAGTAATAAACGAATTTGGTGAGCTGTGAACGAAGACAACGACGACCCTAAGAGGACAACAATAGTAATGGATCTATTTTTGTGTGGCCAGGGGCCTACCGTTAACGCAAACCTACCGTGACGGTGACAGTCTTGAGTCTCACAGATTCATACGTTACTCGTCAGATAGATAGATGGTTCATGGTTGGATTGATAGATAGATGATCCATACTAATTTTAAAATGCCGACACGTAGATGATCTTCTCTATTGGCCTATTTTCTTCTATGGTCCCACACTCCACTATAACATAACTAGAGGCCATTGACAGGTGGTCCCCGCGTAATGGGTCCTCGTCTGATTAGGTTGACTTTGACCTTACCAACGAATACATTAATGCAATTAGAGGTTTGGAGTCACCAGATCATGTATTGGGCTTTTTCATGGCCTGGGCCCACAAACATCCTACTAACCCGACGATAAGCCAGTCCATGTCCCATCTCGGGTCCACACATTTAAAACCTCTTATTAAGTCAAGGGTCCAGCTCTGAACTCTGGACTCGGTGGGTATCTTCCAAATTTCCAATGACAAATAATATAAACATAAAATTTGAATCGAACTAGATAGAACCAATGTATATATATGATAAGGTTGGAATCTGGATATATGAACCCGGCCTAGGCACTTGACCCGTTGACCGGATTCTCAATTCAATTTTGCGTAGATTACCTGTTACCAGCCCAAACCCACACCCATTTGATTATTCCTGACCCCACCAGGCCACCTGATCCGAAAACCCTTTTTGCCAACTCATAATGAATAATGGGTTCCATCTTTCTTAAATGGACGTTATCAGTCCATCTCATGCACGTAAGATACCGACGTTTTAATCTTAACCATTCAATTCAGTCGGCTATGATAAATTCTTAATAACAGTAATAAATGTAAATTTTTTACTATTAAGTTATTTTACGAATGGATGCAACAGAGGACAGAATCTGAATCTGAATGAATCATTACAATAAGATCAGATAAACATAAAGCAGCAGGCAGCAACATTCCATCCGCAGTTGCGGGGCCCACCTCCCTCAATAATTTTCAAGGGTGGTGGTGTCATTTAGTTTGATTTCTTGAATAAAGGCTTTACTCTTCTTTTTTTTCTCTTTTCTTATCTTTCCTTCCAGCATCCAAATTCCACTGTTTGGAGTCTACGTAATTACGTAAGGGTTTTTGTTGATTGTAGAAAATTCTCGCGCGTGATATGTGGATTGAAAGAAGAACGACATATCATATCAAGTGACATCGATTGTGGGATAATTAAATGTGGGACCCTTCTAAGAAACGTGGCAAGCATCAAATGCTTTTTAATTGGGTAAAGTGGGCCATCACGGGCCGTGCCGCTCTCCCCGGTGAAAAATTTGGGGGTCAGCCCGGCCCACGGCCCAGTAAAAAATATGGGCCCGTGCCACGGATTGGGCTGGCTCATGGGCCGGGTCGGGCCGTGTATTGGGCCAAAGTAATTTATTTAGAAAAATTGACAAAAAAACTTAAAATTTTGATTTTATATGAATTTTGTGTATAAAATTACTTATATATGCAATAATTAAATTAATTAGTATAATAAAATTTAAAAAAATAGTTATTTTATTAATATATTATATATTATTATATAATTATAATATATATATAATATATATAAATATATTTATAATATATATAAATATATTTATAATATATATAAAATACATATATGGGCCGTGCCACGGGCCATGCTGGGCCGGGCTACGGGCGGCACGACCCGTTCAGTCGTATCGTACCATACCGGCCCATGGACCTAAGATCCCAGACCCAACATGACTTACATAATCATGCCAGGCGTCATGCCGAGCTGATCCAAGTTCATGCCGTACTGCAGGCGGCATGGCCCAATTTACACCTCTAATGGTGGTAAGTCAGCGCTATTACTTATGAGATATGGTTCATTAAATACTTAGAATTTAGAAATTATAGTATATCTGAATATGCAATAACTAGTAGAGAAAAGGCGTAGATAAAATAGAAGCATTCATTCGCTAATCTCTGATGGTTGGTGGTTGGTTTGTATTATAATGACAAGTGCATTTTTTTAAAGAGTTTGGATAAATATAATTAATTTACAAGTTAAGATATTATAATGATCGTATGGAAAGCGCGTGTGATGTGGAGATTAAGTATCTATATAAATAAATTCAGAAAGTCATTAGACATAAATTATGAGAGTGAGTCCATTGTATTCTATGTCTAGAGAAGAATGGGTGGTAGACTGGTAGGTTAGCATTTTGATGATATTCAAGTAAGAGAGAGAGAGAGAGAGAAATCTGAGGAAGAAGCTAGACTGCTCAACTGGGCTGGACTTCTGACAATGCTGATGGGTGTCATAATTCATAAACAATTAGCAAAACAACGGCCTATGTACCTTGAAGAATTTCGCAATTTGGCTTAGGAAGTCAATTTCTTTTCTTTTAAGTAGTTTCTGATAAAATATTTTAAAACGAAATACGAATACGTTAAGACATTTTATGAAATCCATTTTAAGGACTTCATTAATTTCTTAAAAGTAAAAAAAAAACAAAATAATTGCAGACAGAAATATTGTTAGTGTGGGTATAGCTTACTGCATAACCAAACCACGTAGTTCTCATCCTATAAATAAAAAGATAAAGAAAAACTCCTAATGAAGTTGGAAATAAGGATCCATTTGATTCATAATCTAAATCAGAATCGAAATCTATCAGAATTGAAATCAGAATGGTTTATTTTCATAATTTGTTTGATTCAAACAGAAGAAATTGAAATCAGCCAGAATGAGATATTACCTCAAATAAGGAAATGCCATTCCGCCAGAAATGTGAATGGGATTCTGATTCCGTTCAACCAAACAGTTGACCCATTCTAATTCTGATCCCAGACCCCTATTCCTGCAAACTAAACGGGCCCTAAATATTTTTTTAAATTTATCAAGACGAAATCTCAAATTTGATAAGACAGGTGGCCACCTTAAAGTGCATTAAAGAGAGAGAGGTTGGCAAGTTTGACCTACTATTTTCCATTCTCTTCATCTGCCCATCTCTCAAATCTAAAACTCTACCATTCCTGGTCGATATGGTGGGGAACAAAAACGCATCTTACTGTTACTGTCCCCATCTTTCAAATCGCCTACAAGCATTCCTATTAGTCCCAGAACCATGGAGTGTGTGTATCCATTTTGCCAAACCAATTACCTTCCTGCTTAAGATTAATGGCTAGTGATTGCTGCCAAGCCTTTTGAACATCAATATAATACACGAACCGACAAGAAAATGTAGCCTAAGTTCAAACTATTCCAGAAAATAGGGATGAATCCCTCTTTCCTTTGCAAAGTATATGCAGCCAAGTCACATGTGAAATTACAGATATGACCAAAAAATTCAAATTATACATTATGATAATAGGTGAATTACCATTCCAAAATCTTTCACTGAACCCAGATCCTGACTGAAGATGTAATTAAATCTTTAGATTCAAGGGAGTAAATGAATTCAAAATAAGAAAATGCCACCTCTTAGTACAGAATTCTATGCAAAATCACAAGGTGAAAAGTAGAAACTAAGCAAGACTTATGTTTCTTTGGGGGGAGCCTTCTTTGCTTTCTCTGCTTCCGCTTTCTCTGCTTCTATTTCAGCAACGATGGCATCAATTTCAGCTTCTTCCAGTTGCCGCAACCCATGCTCTCTTGTCATCACAGCAACTTCTATGTTCTTTCCTCCACTTTCAACAACCTAAGTTTAATAAAACAAGATTCAAAGGTTAGGAATTGTGAAAACATGCATACATAGGCAGACACTTCATATTCTGCAGCTACCTAGCTACTTAAACAAGAAATGACACATGAGCATGCACGCATAAGAAATGACACTTCATATTCTGCAGCTCTCTCTCTCTTTCTCTCCCTCTCTCTCTCTCTCTCTCTCTGATCACCCCTTGCCTAGCTTACGTGCCTATCATACAAGTTGCCAATTTCTGGAACTTGAATCGAAGTAGAGGATATATTCAGTCCCCCAGCTAGATTTATCACTTCCCTCAGGATATGTTCTAATTTCCATGATTCATCATTATCATCATCACTAAGCGTTGCCCCAACAATATAGGGTTGGCTATAGAATCCTGTTTTGCCATTACATTCTGTTCAGTGTCATATCCATCATTAAATTATGAGCAATTTAATCATCTCTTATGACTTCCGCCCAAGTCCTTTTTGGACTGCCCCTAGCTCTTCTAGCCCCTTCAACTTGTAACAGAAGTTTTAATTTCCACAATTCCAAGTTATTTGTCAGCCAACTGATTACTACTCTTGAATCCCCTTCTACAACTATATTTTTGTAGTTTAGGGATTTCCCCAACCAATTCTCTTTTTTTTTTTTTTGAGAAAAGATAACAGAGTTTATTTATTAATAAAAGAAAAAGTACATACATGGCACAGGGAAAACCCATCGAGATTCCACAGGAATCAAACTATCACCATATAAGACATCCAAATAGGCACCTATTTTAGCTAGACCATCTGCAACAAAGTTTAAATCCCTTGGAATCCAAATCAAATTTGCATTTAGCAATTCCAAAGAGTCTCGAGCTGCTGTCAAGAAGTGGTTTAGCCTCCACGGGCCACCTTCTTTGTCTCTTATCCATGTAATGGTGTTTGCTGAATCACCTGCAATGGTTAAACTTTGAATGCCTAGTGTTCTTACAATTCTGATTCCCGTGAGAGCTGCCAACACTTCCGCCTTGGAGGAGTCAGTGACACCTATTGGACCACTAAAAGTCCAGATAACAGACCCCTTTCATCTCTTAATATGCCTCCTATGCAAACAGCTCCTGGATAACCTGACGCATTCCCGTCAAAGTTTAAAAACATCCCTTCCTTCCCTTCCTATTCCTAAACCACGGGGGACAGGAGGGGGGTGATGTTGAGTGAAAGAGAAAGAATTGAGCACTTCTGTTGAGATTGTTCACTGATAGTCCTCCAAAAAGATCAGAATTGTTGGCCCAAAGGTTATGATGATAAGTGATTTGAAGAGACTAGTCCCTCGTGAATTATTGTCTTGTTATTAAATAAATGGTTGTTCCTTTCTTCCCAAACACCCCACATCACCACATGTAGGATGGTTTGCCAATAGGTTTTACCTCTTTTACTTAACCCTCTGCCTTGCCATTGTTGAATGAACTCCTGAATATTCTCCGGGGCAACCCAGCTATAACCAGCCAACTCCAGAAAGTGGTGCCAAATTTTCTTGGTTTCCTTGCAGTGAAGAAGTGATTGGCTGATTCTCCTTCATTCAAGCACAAGATACAAGCATGAGGGAAGATGAAAAGTCTTCCCAAGCTTTTCTATTGGAGAAGGTCACATGTGTTGATCCTTTGCAAACAGGCTTCCTATACAAAGGAGAAAAATCTTGAGGCTCAGTTTGGAAGGAGTACAAATACATACAAAATAATACAAAATATAAGGTTTTGCACTCTACAAATTTGCATTTGTAAAATATAAGGTTTTGCACTCTACAAATTTGCATTTGTAAAATATAAGGTTTTGCACTCTACAAATTTGCATTTGTAAAATATAAGGTTTTGCACTCTACAAATTTGCATTTGTAAAATATAAGGTTTTGCACTCTACAAATTTGCATTTGTAAAATATAAGGTTTTGCACTCTACAAATTTGCATTTGTAAAATATAAGGTTTTGCACTCTACAAATTTGCATTTGTAAAATATAAGGTTTTGCACTCTACAAATTTGCATTTGTAAAATATAAGGTTTTGCACTCTACAAATTTGCATTTGTAAAATATAAGGTTTTGCACTCTACAAATTTGCATTTGTACTCCTTCCAAACTGAACCTGAGGGAATGTGGCTGTACCAAGCCTTCTTAAAAGGGAAAGAGATCTGTTCACCTGCAGTCAAAATCTTGTAAAAAGACTTGGAAGAGAAGTCACCATTTGGATGAGGGGGCCAAATTCTTGAGTCTTGGGAGTTAGATGAGATAAAACCTCCTTTAGAGTTTGGAGGAGGTCTGCTACTTCAATTATCTCTCGGTCTCTTAGGGGTCTTCTAAGGCTTAGGTTTAAGGTATTCTCAGAACGAGGCAGGAAAGCAAGAAGAAATGGATGCATCTTGATCTAGGGTTAGATTAAAGAGTCTGGGGAAAGAGGTAGCTAGGGTGGAGTGGCCCACCACAGGTCTTTCCAGAACTTAATCTTGCAGCCATTACCTACTCTGTATCTAATGAAAGGGACAAAAAGATTGCTAATAGAGGTGATTCCTTTCCACGGATTTGTAGATTTAACCCGGTTCAAATGGAGAGTGCTCTCCCAACCATTAAAGTTTGTCCTGTATTTGCTGGAGATGATAGCTGCCCACAGAGAGTTAGATTCTGTAGGGAATCCCCAAAGCCATTTCCCCTAATGGTCCGTTTGGTTTCCGAGAAACAGTGGGATGAGAAGGGATGAGATGAGAAAGGAAGAATTTATTTTCTCATTTTTTGGCCCATGTGTTTGTATGCTGAGACCTACTATCCTACAGAATATGCTTCTAGTGTTTGGTTGATGAGACGAAGGGATGAAGAAATACCGCAGAACTGGAACAAATCCATGGGGCTAGCAACAGATTTGGAACAAATCCATGGGAAAAACTCCAGATCTGGAACAAACACGTCTCTGGCCAGATCTAGAGTGCCGAAGTTAAACCAGAGGACAATAGTAGCAGATCTAGAACACAGGTGTCGTGTTTCAGCTCGCTGACAAGGAAAAACTAGTCTGGCCGACCATGGTTAGAGGGGCAATTCAATGAGTTGAGGGCCATCCATGCTATTTAATACTTTGCAAATAAACAACCGTCGTACGACCGGAAATGTTACCTTCGCCAGAGAAGATGAAGACAATAACCGCCGGAAACATTACCTTCACCAGAGATGAAGGATACAGGTGGTCGGAGTTCGGACCGTTGCAGAGGTGGGAGATGAGAACAGTCCACCCCTTGATAAAACTTCTTCACTGTCGTCGCACAACTTTCATTTCTTAGTGGGGTTGCACCTATTTGGTGAGACCCCACATCCCCATATTTTGAGAATGCTATTCTCATTGCACCTACTCGCTGAATATACCTATTTTCTCATCCAGGTCGTACGAACCCAACGGACTATGAAGGGAAGTATTCTTCTCCTTGAGATGGCCAATTCCCAATCTACCTTCCTCCTTAGGCTTGCATACTTGATCCCAACTTACTAGGTGATTCTCTTTTCCCCCTCCGCCTTCACAAAGGAAACTTCTTTAGGCTCCGTTTGGTTCATGGGATGGGGATGAGAAAAGGGAATATTCCTTTTCCCCTTATTTGTTTTGGGGGAAATAAAGGGATGGGATGAGAAAAACGTGGGATGAGGGATCCCAAAATTGTAATCAAGATTGCACTAAAACAGTGCAACCCCGGTGGAAAAACTCGAGATGGGAGATGGGCCTTCTTCAACCTCTCGAGAAAACTCGAGAGACTCTTCTTTTTCAACCTCTGAAAACTCTGCCAACAGATCCAACCACAGTAAACGCCATTAGAAGTCTTATTCAGGCGAAGCTCACGCCGGAATCATCTCCTCTGTTGTCAATCTCTACGATACAAACTTCTAGTCATCACCGCCGCTAGTGAGGATGGTCTAAAAACAGAGAACCACTACCTCCGATCTCCGTCTCTTTATTGCTTTCGCCGGACGAACAGATCCAACCATAGCAAACGCCATTAGAAGTCTTGTTCAGGCGAAGCTCGCGCCGGAATCATCTCCTCTGTTGTCAATCTCTTCGGTACAAACTTCTAGTCATCACTGCCGCTAGTGAGGATGATCTAAAAACAAAGAACCGCTACCTCCGATCTCCGCCTCTTTATTGCGTTCGCTGGACGAACAGATCCAACACAACAGACGCCATTAAAAGTCTTGTTCAGGCGAAGCTCACGCCGGAATCATCTCCTCTGTTGTTAATCTCTTCGGTACAAACTTCTAGTCATCACCACCGCTAGTGAGGATGATCTAAAAACAGAGAACCGTTGTAGTAGTTTCTTCCAGGCCGACATACATTAAAGCTAACGGAGCTGGTGAAGAGGTTCATTGAATCAAATCCAGTTCTTGTGAATTCTCGACCCAACCAGATCTCATTATAATCTCTCATTGCGTTAATTCTTTCGAATCCACTGTCGTGTGTGTGTGTATTTTGTTAGTTTTTTTTATGACTAGATAATATTCTTGTTAGAATCCTATTTATTATGATTCAAAAATTGAACCTAGAATAGATAAAAAACGGATGAGATCTAAATCCTACTATAGAATTTTTCATCAGAGCAGCATTTCCACTTTAGTTTGTAGGGTTAGGTTGGGAAGGTAAGTTGGTCGAGGGAGACAAAACTAGGTCTAAAATTGAACCTCTGAGAACTCTACAGATTGATCTTCAGAGGAAATCTCCAACACCAACGAGGAATCCGCCGATTCCAATTTCGCAGGAGAGAGGTCCTTCTAGACTCGCAAGGGTGGACTCTGTTTTATGTTGGATACTTTTCCAACTATTTACCCATATAAAACCAAACAATGGAAAGTTAAATTTTTACACCTTCCCATCCCATCCCACCCAAATCTTCCCACAAACCAAACAGAGCCTTAAGTTTATCAATCTGAAATCTGACTTTCCTAGGGATCTGGGAGACCAACAAGTATCAACAGGTTTGCAAAGGCCTCTAAAAGAGTAAATCAC